GGGGAGCAGCAGCTAGTAACAGCGCAGCATCACTGCCTGCGCAGCATAGCGGGAGCAGCGGAATTAGTGCGCAGGATAAACTCAAACAGAGGCTTTGGGCGGGTCGAGGACTACGAGCCCGGGGAACAGCGGGGGGTCGGGCCGTTTGCGCCGCCTTCTACTGCCCAGCAGAGGACGGGGTCGGTAGGAGGTGGTAGTGGTGGAGGGTATGGTGATGCTGGGCATGGAAATGTTGGGTTGCCGAGCGGACCTAGACCGCCGCCAGGAGGAAGGATGGGGTTGCCTAGTAACCCCAGGATGCGATAGAGGGTCGGAGAGGTCTAGAATATGGCATGAAAGAGGATGGAAGGGGAAGGAAATGCGCATAGCTGTATACAGACAGACAAGCTGGGCGAAGCGTAGCGTTGGCTTTACTGGTTTATTGGTTTGCTAGTCCGCAAGCGATTCAAATTTCAGCTAGCGAATAAATAGGGGCCATTATATCAAGCGTCACGTACGGACAGGTTGGGGTGAACTTGAGTGATGGGGATAGGAGTTTACGGTCGCTTTTCCTATAGACCTACTGTGTACGTGGTTCGAACTGGTGATGTCGGTACTAATAAACTCTAAAGGGGAGCGCTTGGTTCCTACCTACCTGGCTATATAGGTATAGGCCAACCAAAGTCGGAGGATGTTGAGTGGCCTATAACGCAGATGTAATACATGACCTAAACCCTCCATTACATTGTGGCAATAACACACTTCTACAACACAGGAGGTATTTCTAAAACTTAGGACTACGAACAAAGCAACGTCAAAAGCTAATGATTTGGAACCACAGCCCCTTTTTATTCCAGATATATGCCTGGTAACAACGATTCAAACCTCCGTATGTCCTAAAATCCCCATGAACTCCCAAACACCCTTCGTTTCCTGGTATCCCGAATCCCAAGTCATGCTTGGGTACCACCCCAGCCCAATAGATTGTATTCGATACAGTATAAAGACAACAAATAGAGGGTATCATTTGAATCCCAGTATAGCAGTTTTTGCCCGCCGCCAGTGCCAATCCGTGGAGATCATTTGCTCGGAGGCGGAGGTCGATGGTAAGGTCGATTGATGTTGTCGACTTTAGATCAACAACCGCCGTTTGATGGGAAGAGGCAGCGGCTCCCCGTTGAGCGAACCCCGTTTCTTAGCCAGGGCATTCTTCCCCATCGCCTGGATCTTATCAAGGAGATGACTGTGGGAGCCTTGTCAGTGTATCTGTTCTTCAGGTCGGAGGAAAAGATCAACGTGGAGAAGTGAACATGGTAAAGTCATACTTGATAGGCAAATGTCCCGCCCTACTTTCCTCCATCGCCAAGTTGATCTTCTGCGCCTGCTCCTCGTGGTCCTTGAAATGCTTCGATATGAGGTCCTGCCCCGAGGGCTCGTCCGCCGACCGGACCACGTAGCCGCACCCTTCCTGATCGCACGTCCAGGTCCCGTTGGGACCGGCCGGTGACATGGTCGGGAGGCGCTCGGCCTGAACTACTATCCGGACTGCGTCTTTCGGTATGGCGCCCGAGTCGTCGGCTACGTCGATGATGACGTCGTTCGCGTCGCTGTCTTCGTCTTCCTCAGCCTCGACTGTTCGCTTTAGTGCTTTTCGTCCGCGACGGGGCGGCAAGTCATCGTCGTCCACCATATCGGAAGCGAGTCGCTTGGAGCCTGCCACACGGAGGGTTGCCACTTTGCCGGAAGGACGGCCTACCCTAGGTTGTTTTCCAGCTCGGACTTCGTCCTTCGACTCGGCTTCGATACTGGGTGAAGCCCCGAGGTCGTTTGCTAGTCGACTTATATGAGCTTGCCGCCGGTTCCGACGATTCAGATAATTAGGAATGTCCTCGACTACTAAATCCGTTGGAGCGGGGCGTCCATTCTTGACAACCTCCTCAAGCCAAGCCTTATATGGGGTGTTGTCCCACATTGGTGGCAATCGCTCAACAAGCTCCTTTGCAAAGTGCTCGCATAGCTCCCTGGCGGCAGTGTAGACTTTGATCCTGCAGTTGTAGAATAAGTCCGAGTTGACTTTTGACATCTTCACCTCCTTGATGTCAATTCGTTGGGCAACTTCTCCCAGCAGAACGATGAGCCGATCGACTGGGTCATCGGGAAGGTCGTCGTTGCCAGTAATGATGATGGGAGACGCCCGGGGATGGGGGGATTTCGAAGGTAAATGCCGGGTTGATACTGGGGCCGGAGCCGGGGTTCCCGATCCTTTGTCTGAGCGTTGGTCTGACAGCTCGCTAGCCTGTCGACTGGTTTTCGTCGTCCTGCCTTTCGGTGGTTCACGGATCGCTAGACTTTGGGATTGAGGCGAGTGAACTCGGTCATCCCGCGCAAGTAAACCCTCGGGCTCGTCAGCTGGTTTGGTGAGCAATCCAGCAGCGACATCGCTGATCTTCTTTTGAAGGTCTGGGTGAGCGGCTTGCAGCCAAGCGGCAAACTCGGTGTCCTGCCATTTGATCTCCAGTTCCTTGGGAAAATGCGCTAACAAGAACTTTGCCCACTTGTGACATCTGGCCTCGACCTCCTCTTTTACAGTGACGCCCCCATCTCCTGCGGTAAGCGCGTATATAAAGAAGATCTCGTCCAGAGGTGGCGGCTTCATGTCTTTGCGCTTCTTCTTGTCGGCCTTCTTCGATAGCCTCTTGAACTCCTCGTAAGGACCCATGATTCCATAGTAAAGTGTGATGGCCTCCATGACCTGGCTGTACATGGCTTCGTATTTCCTCGAGGGTATAATCTCAAACCATCCGGATGCGCCAGAAACCCAAAGGGTGTTTGGGTCAAATCCGATCGAGTATCGTTCTGATCTAGAGATTTCGATATACGTCGCTTTGTTGTACGGCTTGACGACTTGCATATTGTTAGCGATTGAGCAGAAAACGTCCAAGGGGTGGGGAAGGCGGGCATAAACAAGTCAACATACAGCATTCGCGAGCTTCATCGTCATCGTCTTCCACTGTTTCAAGTTTTCCGCGTACGATAAACGGCCCCTCGAGATCGACATGGAGTGGGTTTGCCAGCGTCTTGCCGTCCTTTTGGTAGATGGTGGCATCTGTCAGTACGGCGAAGTATGGCCACGACTCATCCGGAGATCCTAGAGTCACCGGCTTGAGGATGGACAACTCCTTTGTCCATCGCCGGCGTCGGTCGTCGGTCGAATCGATGGATGCGCTAGAGCCCCTTCTGCGCCGTGGGCGTCCTGGTCCGGCCATGTCGTTGTGGTTTCTCCCAGCAAAATGAGCTCAGTAATAATTCGGTTGTAGATATCAAGGTTGAGGACTTGGGAAAGTCGATCGAGATGGTAACTAAGAGGAACTCGTTGTTGAAACTGTTGACAGCCTCTTGCGGTAAACGTCTTAATCGCCACCTATCACAGTGATTTGGACTTGAGACAAAGGTGAAGATGATAATATTGAACACAATAAACTGGATATTAAACAAACTCAAAAGCGGGATTGAATGGGGAAACAGTAAGCGAAAGGGTATCGAGTGGGAGTGGGATGTAACGCGATGCTTCTCTCGAAGACTGACAGGCCAGGCCTGCCTGGCAACGGCCAATGGACGCGACTTGTTCACACGCGCAGCGAGAGTGGGACCTCGATGGTTGGATTCTCAAGTCGTTCGTCAGTGGTGGGGCCCAGGCACTTAAACCCCTGTTTCCCGGCTCCACACCCGCCACTGATAAGGGACGATAAGCCCTAAAATAAGTGAGCGGTCCCTGCAGTCTGATGTCTGAGTCTATGAATTTTTGAGTGACGGCTTCCTGCGCAGACTCCAATTGGAAACACGTTCTTGCATATCGGGGTTTAGAGGGCCGTACCTATCATTGTTACTTATTTCTCCGAATCATTATTATCGCCATCCCTCCCACATCAACTTCCAGAGATTGTAAATGATCTGGAGGTCAATCATCAAGATGGCACAAAACAGCCTCGCTGAGGGCGTCTTCGGTATGTCATCACTACGCCTTCAGTCTTCCGCGCGCATTCTGCAGATAGAGTGTTCCAAAAGCGCATCATGAAGTAAAATTGACATAATACTACTCCAACAACAGCCATCAACAAGCCTTATGGCATGAGCTCTGCCCAGGTTATCCGCGACTGCCAACACCACTTCAACCCCTCCAAGCTCTTCGCGCCCCTCCTAGCCGCCGACCGCGCCCTCCGCGAGAAGGAAAACAGATACCAGAAGCAACG